AAATTGTCTCTATCAAGATGATATCTGTACTTACCAAAAAAAAAAAGTGAAAGGCCTTTCATCATTCATATGATCATAAAACAAACTAACTAATCATGTCTAACTAACTCTCTCGCTTCTTTTAACACATTGTATGAAAATGTGCAGCCTATTGCATTTCCCCTTAAAAAGTCTATTTGGAACAACTTATAAATTAATTTTTTAATTGTAATTTAAGAAAATAAGATAAGTATATAAAAAGAGTTTCGTCTTGACTTACAAAAACATACTTATAAGTACTTATAATCGTGATTCCAAATGGCCTCTTAACGTAACTATGTACAGAACTTGACTCTCTCATACTCTTGTTGCCAATAGAACTTTGGCCTCTTACATTTTTCCAAATAGTTTTTTAATAAGCACATACATTTTTTTATTAGAGACAATCTTGTTTGAGATATTATCAAACATTAAATGTAGATACATCTTTTGATGAAGATTTTAACATTTGTTAGCTATGTTATGAGGGACTAATAAACCTTCTGCCAAATCCAATAAATTAGCCAAACTGGAATTACTACGAGAGTGTACTTGTTTTCCACATGTTTTTCTTTTATATTTACCACCTGCAAGTGATTAATCAAATTCTTAATTAGAAAAATTAAAAAGGATAAAATTGGGTGTAATATATATAAGGAAAATTAAGGTTAAAAATACTTCCTCCATCTCATTTTATAAGCAAAAACTATCGTCTCCTTCTTGTCTCTAAATATAAGCAACATTTATAGGTTGTTTTAAATTTTTGTAGCAAATTTCTTATTTTGTCCTCATTAATTACTTATTTTAATATTCAAAATATTAATTATTTTATTTTCCAAACCATCATCTCTCTATCACATATTTTCTCTTTTCCATAATTCTCTTTATTATAATGATTTTCTTATTCTCTCTCTTATACTCTCTCCCCTCATAAATAAGGGCATTTTGGAGAAAATCTTTTTAATTTCTACACATTTATTGTCTTTAATTAATATTAACTAATATTTTGATTATAAACTCCAATACTGTTTATTAAAAACACGGAGGGAGTATACCGTTTTGCTTTCGCCCGGCTTGGCAAAGAATGAAATGAATATGATGAGCAGAACCACCACTGCTATGACGCCAACTATTATTACTTATGTCTTCTGAAATTTATTGTCGTTCTTGTTTTTACGCTCACCTGCACATTGCAATTCATATATCAATTAAGTAGATTTCTTTGTTCATGACAAATTTAAAATTACGCATCATACAAGGGATAATTTCAAACTGATTAAATATGATTAATCTTAATAATCAGGAAAAGACGACGTCGCAAATGATGAGGATGCTCTGCACCAAAATACCTACCTTTTTGTGTTGTGATTGCAAGCGGCCCTTTCATTGGAAAAATGGCACTATCATTCTTGCTTTATTTGATATTTTGATTTGATTTGATTTGATTGTTTATTTTCATTCATATTACTATATTAAAAAGAAAATTAGGGCGGAGCTGCTAACCGTTTTCATTGGGCGAGCAATCTCCACCTTCGGAGTAGCACGCGTAGCACTTGGCCAAGCCTACCCGACCCCACTGAGCGGGCCCACACTCTTCTCTTAGCCGTCTGATTGCATTTGAGAGGCAATCCTGACAATCGGTCGCACTCAAATCCCCGTGGACTTGACAGGATCGATTTTCATAAAGGAGTGTGACGTCACAAATTGACAAACTCAACTTTATTTATCGTGTGAACTAATTTTTTTATAAATAAAGAACTAATGTAGTTGTTAATTCTAATGATCTCATGTTAATCTTTCTGGTCAACCTATTCCTGGATCGAATGCTTTTTCAGTCTTCCTTGCTAAAAGAACATCATTAACCACTGATACTGATTTTTTTTCCCACTGAAAGTGGGATATAGAGCTTTCCAAGAAACCCCACTCCTATTGCCACTCTATTAGAAAATATATTTGATAAAATAGCATCCTTTATTGAAAAAATGTTGAAAAAACGAAGCAATTTCTTCACCATAAAATAGATGAAGAGGCCTTTAATTCATCAGCAATATTATTCTTGCCATTTAAGAGGTATTTCTCCACAATAAATACTTTCTCGTTGAGGGGAATAAATAATCATGATCCATGGCAATCTCTTTAGCCCCAAGAAAAAAAAAATTCTTGCAATCTTTACATATAAACTTAGTTGAAGAGTTATGTTTAGTTTTAAATATTAAAACTCATCGTATACTTATCATTTCATATTTTAAAAAATTAATACATAATTTTTACAAATAATTAATTTAATTGATTTTTTAAATCTACCAAAACTAGTTAAATAAATCTTAAACTAAAAATCAGTAGTAGTATATGCTGAGCAAAGAAATCAAACTATTGCTTGAGTCGGGAAATCATTGAAACACAATATTGATCAATATTCAACTTAATACAGCATAAACAGCATAAAATCGAAGTTGAAAGCAGAATCATGCAAGGACCAAAGTCAGGTAGCCAAGTTAACTTGATACCACAAGAATCCAACGAAATAATGTAAACCCAACTGAAAAGGTAATACAACTTCATCACTAAAAATAATAGTCTGTCAATTCCTCGAATAAGATTAAGATTGGCTTCAATAAGATGATGGTGATACCTGTATTTGGTAAGAAAAACCGCAAGAATCCCAACGCCCTTCTAAAACTGGGAAATATTACTTAGGTCCTGTTTGGATGACACTGTAAACCATGGTTTGGAAGGCCAAACCATGGTTTGCAAAAAATGTCATCCAAACATGCAGACATTTTGCATAAACCGTGGTCTTGCTTGAAACCATGGTTTCCACCGATGAAACCATGGTTTCATCATAGGCAAGAAATTCTCGCTTCTGGCTGAATAACTGAAGGCAACTGCATTTGATCCAAAAATACCCTTGAAAGCTGCTGGCCGACACCCAATAATTGAAGGCAACGGACTACTCTGCTCGTGCATTCTCTCTGCTTTGCTGTGCTCGCGATTCTCTCCGCTGTGCTCTGCTCGCGTCGCGATCACTCTTTTGCTCGCTTCGCTTTGCTCTGCTCGCGATTTTCGCCATCTTCGCTCTTCGCTCTGCTCGGGCATTCACTCTCAAGAAGCTCGCCTTCTCTGCTCGCCGCTTCGCTCTTCAGGTCTGAAATCCTTCTCGTTGAAGTATGTGCTTTTGTCAAATATTCTTTGTGAAACCCCACTTGTCGCACGTTCTTTCTTTCGAGTTTCTTGTAGCCCACTCCTTTGGTTCACTGGTTCGTCGAGCTTGTGCCGTCGCTGGTTCTGTGGTCGCGCTGAGAAGAAGAAGGGATGAAGACGATGGTGATGAAGGGAGGTTCCCCCTCTGCCGTTGCGCAGCATCTCGTCTCGTGTTCGTGCTTCGGTCCCCTGTTTTCCCAGCCGCTGTCCCACGTGTGTGTGTGTTTCGTTCTCTGCTAGTTCGGCGTGTTCTCCCTCAGCCCGCTCCGCCTCGTGTTCAGCTTCTCCGCCAAGATGAAGAAGAAGATTGAATATAGTATATTAGGTTGGGGGTGGTGCGCACCGTTTTGCTCCCTTTTCTTTTAATTAATTAATTAATTACTCTATATATATATATTTCACGTTTTAAAATCTTTAAAGAAAATTGATTATTATCTGTTAGCCAAAAAAAAAAATTCATTTTTCTATAAACATATTTAATATTATGTTTTATAATATATATACACATATTAATTATGTATTAATTATATTATGTTATATATTATTAATTATGTTACTAAAAAAATTTTCATTAACAATTTTATTTCCTCAAATCAAAATATATCATAAAATCTATTCCTTATATAATTATCATATTAACTTATATCCTTTTTGGTAATTTTGACATGTAAAAAATATTTCTGGTAATAACTATCCAAACACTCTCACTTCTCAGAATCACTTTTTTTCAGAATCTATTCCCCACAAAATCTATTCTCCACAGAATCTATTCTCCAGAATCACTTTTACAAACCACAGTTTGGTTTCATCCAAACACACCCTTAATCAAATCCCATTCATTCTCGAATGACTCTTTACTAATGCCGCACAAAAAACTAAATTGCAATCCCGAGGTAACTTAGCTCAACGACATCCACCAAGACTACAAGAACTGCGAACTTGTAGATAACACCTTCCAGCAATCTTCTCAAATCTGATACCTGAATTGTTCTAAGCTATGATTATAATATCGAGAATTTTTCTTCAAAAAAAAATCTCAACCAAAAGAATGCCATCCAAATGAAAAAAAGAAGGAACTTCTTGATCCTTCTCACCACATACCACCGAAACAGAGAAGCCAGGCTCGAGCCGGATTAGAAATCTACTAACTTCTCCAAACAAGAAAAACATATATTTTGGCTTTGGAGAAAAAGATATAACAAATTTCTGTCTACCAATATATTCTTTATGCTGTAAATAAACTCAACTACACAACACCTTACCCTTCGAAGCCCACACAAGTGACTAGGGTAAAATTAGGCATTAGACTGTTAGTACGCAACCAAAATGCTTTTCTGGTTGAACCAGAGAGACTAAGACCAATACTTCACTTCGTGTGTGTGTGATCATCAAACGACCCAAAATTCAGGAATAAGCTTAACTCCCAGCAGTACGGCTCAATCGGAGGATCCAATTCGATCAACACCAACCAAAGCATCTCGCAACGTGTCTTAACAGTAATAGTATCATATAACTTGGCAAGGCTTACTCTTGTGCTCCTTTAGATGCATGTTTGCGTTTAAATTTAATTATAGCTGCACGATGAACTTACATATCCATTGGACAAAGACAGAAGCAACAAATTCTTCAGCAAGCATTTGTTTTTCCTTAAGGCTGAGTTTTTCGCATTCATTACAATTAAACGGACCGCGACGAAGATAGAATGTATGCCGGTAAATCCACATTTTGAGACGAATAAGCTGTAGCAACGATCCATTGATGCGAATCAACAGAGAAAGCCCTTATGAAGTTTCAAACATATCGTAACCAAGATAATCAACCAAAAAGAGAATGTTGGACAAGCAAAACTACCATTGAAACAATAGTAGTCAAAATTTGAAAATTAATGAAAAAGAACACACACATTGAAAGAAATGGTATCCATTATAACACACGAAAAGAGAGTTATACACTCCAAACCCTGATTGACTCGCTAATTGCCAATCATGAGAGGACTCAATCCCGATTCTTCAAGCGCTCCGCCCTCTGATTCAACTGCTCAATCTTAACAACGAGATTGGTGACGGAGTAGAGGAGCCAATAGAAGACCAAAGCGGCGGCAATGAGGAGGGCATTGCGCTGGCTCTTCACGATGGACTTCTGGTGTCGGAGGTACTCCGTTTGGGTGCAGGAGTCAGCCTCGCAACTAGGGCGAGTCTCGTACTTCCAGTAGATATCCATGAGCAAGAAGAGGCAAAACGGGACGACGGAGAGGAAGGGCTTGAGCAAATTTCGGGGTACGGCGATCAAACCTTTACGGAGGCCGTCGAGGCCAGGAACGGTGAGGAGGAGCACCATAATGGCCTCGGCGGCGGCGGCGTATCCAAGCACAACCCATTCGAGCGCCATGGGAACACTGATGTTGTTCTGTGCGACAGATCTGCGATTGCAATGACAGTTCTTGGGGGAAAGACCGACGCTTTTGGTTGTTACTTCGTTCGGGAGAAGGAAATGCCGCCTTTCTTAGGAGACAAGTTGTTCCCTGGGGTCAGACGAGCGAAACGACACGTACCGCTACACGTGGGAGACTCAAATTTCATGTGTTGCCTTTCCTTAGCCGCGTAGTGCTCACATAAATTTAGTTTTAAGCCTTTTTATTTGACCAAAAAATTTAAGCTGCAGACTTTGCCCAAAAATATATCCAAGCTTCTCCTTGGCCCAAAAAAAAAAAACCAGTCAAGCCAATACACAAGTTTCGTCATTGGTAAAATTACTGATATTAGTTTCCTATAATAATTTAACTAATTAAAAGGACTACAAATTACTTATACATATCATGTATTTAATCTTAAAATAATGAAACTTTCCCCAACAATAATTTTAATTTGAGGTGGTTCGTTATCAATTTGAACGTATTAAAAATGTATGAGTATATAATTTACAATTCACGTAGAATTCCGAGGTAAAAAAAATCACGTATAATTTATTATCTTGTCTTTTAGAAATCAGGTTTTCTCATAATTAATAGGGAAAATATTTCGTGCATTATACAAAATAATATTATTTTCGGATATTTTAAAATTGATATTCACAAGTTCAAACTTGTCAGGCTGTTCTTCAAATTTTTTTGATACAACCGTCTATTCTTCCAAATTTCCACTAAAACAAATATCTTTATAGAGGTTTGGGCTCACTTCGAAACTTAGCCTGAAGAATGCATACTTAGTGCCCGACATTGTCCTAGCCCAACTTATTGTTTGGGTTTTTTTATTTTGCTTTCACATATTTAGTGCCTTACATTAACTTAAACAAGTTGCTTTTACCAAGAGAATATCTGTACTTACCAAAAAAAAAAAAAGAAGTAAAAGGCCTTTCATCATTCATACGATCAAAAAAGAAACTAACTAATCACGCTTAACAAACTCTCGCTTCTTTCAGCATATTGAGCAAAAATGTGCGGTCTGTTGCAATTCCTCTTTAAAAAGGTCTATTTGGAACAACTTATAAGCTATTCCTCCGGTGTTTAATATCAGACTCATTTAACTAATTTGATTAGATTAAGGAAGTTAGGTAG